AATCCAATTGCATATAGATTCACTATTATCCCGTTTTTCGCTTTTGCGACTGTGTCTTGCATACTTTTTGGTCACCATGATATTGGTTTCTGTGTAAGATGCAATTTTTGTTCAATGTTCCGCCCTAATATGTATTTGTTAGAAACTCGCCGAACCAGAGACAATTAATTCGCAAATCTTACCTATCGGAATAAAGCCATTAGCTCATTTAATTACATTACCTTTAAGAACAGCATTTCATCGGATGCTATTAGGCACATAACGAAGAAGAAGTATTTAATTCCATTTACAACTCTCGATTACTGATAAGTCTTTGACACGGATGACCCATCAGTGTGCATGTATTTAGGCATACATAGTTGGATGAATGGACGGATGGACGGCTGGAGAAGTAAATGAATTAGGAAATGGATAAAAGACAGAAGGCTTACTAGGATTAGCAAGTTAAAGATTGACAACAATCGACTTTATCTCTTCAAATATTTCTACACATGTAGTTACATATTTTCACCAAATTCATGACATTTGTTAATTTCTCTACTCATTTGTCACCCCATCAGTTAAACTATTGGTCAATACTTGCCAAATACACACAAAAAATACTAATAAAAATTCATGCATGATTATACTTTTCACAAAAATTAGCCTGACTCAATTTATCTCCCACTTTCCATGTTATCCGGTTCTTAAGTTATATGACCTGCATAAAACGCAGCCGCACACGCTCATGGAATTGTTAAAGAAACCTCATCCATTTATTCCTACGGTAACATCGACACTACTGCAACCACCAATCCTATCACTGATAGCATTTCCTTGTCCATTTTACAGATAAGAATCTTTGCAACACAGTGTCATGCATACAAATGGAGTGGGATTTAGTTTAATACAACGAAACACTACTAAAAAAGAAGAAAACAAGCGCAGCAAAGAGGAATGAAGTGAAGGAATCCTAGGTGGAGAGAAGGAAAATATCATAAAGTGGACCAGCAGCTCCAGCATTCCGTGTCTGTCACCCATGCGTGCACTAGTGCGGATCGCACAGCAAAACGTCGGTGATCGCCCTAAAATCAGTTTTCGGAGTGATTTGGCTGCTAGTTTTAATTACTCCTCCAACTTTTTGCCCATTATTTTCATCGTCTCAAACAAACCATGGAGTCTTTTACTTTTATCATCTCCGGTACCCTCCTCAACAAGCCACATCAGCTTCTAAAATTCACTCATTGGTCTCTGCATGCCGTCATTCACCTATTCATCCAGCTATACATACTTTCGTAACTGATTACTTGTTAATTTCGCTTTTGATTTTTCTCACCCCTTACTTCTCTATCCCTTGATATTTTCTCTCTCTATAGTCTAATATTTTAGTCCTCAGTATTTTGAGGTATTTGAATGACATTGATGTAAATCGACTTTTACCACATACTATAGTGACATGACTGTGAGGAGAACGAGTGCAGACATGAAGCTAATTTCAGCTGCTGATAGATTGGTAGCTCTAGCGCTGTCTATCAATTAATATACTGGAAACTGAGAATTTCGGACCCAGCTATGCAAATGATGCAACTAAATACTCAATCTTAAATAATTAACTCGGCTAACATATTTATTATATACCACGTCCGCTGAAGAAGTATTGCTGTGGCCTTGATCATTGCTATGATGCTCCCTTTATCTCACTTTCCCTATACCAACTAAAAGGTTTTTATATCCTGCTTCCATTGTCCCATTCATTGATCTGCTAGCTTTGCTAACTTGCTACATCGATGTACAAGGAAATTAGAAATTCGACTGAGCGAAAGTCTGCTTCTCAGTCCTCATCATATATTTGTCCAACCTTCTGATTTTGCAAGAGATGTGAGGGTAGGGGACGGCGTCACAATTCTATGCTAGCCTTGTTGATTTAGGTTGGATGAAAAAATAAATTGTTTACAGCGTCAACCTCCCCTCATCCCTGGCTGCCTACGCTGCCTTCTTTTCCAGTAACCGCTTTCACTCACATCCTACAATTAACTCAGATTTCATTAGTGGGATCCAATAAAGTCAAAAAATTGTCCATCCTGCCTTCTATATTCAGACACGATGCTAGGGCACCTCAGGGAAGCTTTGTTTCACACATCAGTCCACCCATCGAGTCACAGCTGTTGTGATATGGTTCTCTTCAGCGAAGTGGTGATAAAGGCTATTCCATGCGGCATATGAGGGTTTTCAGTTGTTTTCTGCGAGTCGTT